ATCACCTGTGATAGCTGCCGAAGTAGGCAACAATGTTTTTGTGCTTGCATTCCTTCATCATGGTGATCTCCTGCTGGATGGATGTGATGTCATCACCTGTCCAGACAGACGTCTAAGTGAGTGTTTTCCTCTCAACTCTCATGTCACAAACACAGGGAGAGAAAATTACAGAGCTGGAAATCACAGACCTGCACTAACAGCTATAGGGTAGGATACATTTATGGTCTGCAGAGGTTGGGCCACCTGTTTACTGTGGTGATCTGTCAGACAGCCTGCAATTTCACCCACTCAGACGTTGCAGAACAATATTGTAACAGGCCTTTATATGATGCTGCGTATTCTGAAGGTTAGAAAAATAGACGCAGAAGAAAATGCAGTGGTTCTATGGGCCTGTAATTAACCTACCTGTTAGTTGGTAGGTTAGTCGCAGGCTCCCATTTATTCTAATATGTCTTTATTCTGAATGTACCGTAATTCAGTTCATTCATAATGTTCACCTAATTTAAAAGTATTCACTTTCAACCAAGGAGGAAAACACAAGCCAAACTAAATCCTGAGCCTCGTCCCTGTTTCATCTGTTGTGACAGAAAACATCATACTCTAGAAGTCTTCCTGCACCGAGAGTACACAGAACAACCAGGTGACTCCTTTTTTATGCAACATCAGTCTACAGTCAATGCATCTCTGACTCCCAAAATGCATTCGGCTTATGAAAAGTCACAACAATTGTTTGAATACAAAGAGGGATGGATCTTTTGCCCTGTGATGGACTGGTGACCTGTCCAGGGTGACCCCTCTTTCATCACACCATTGCATAAAAAGCCTTTTGAGGAAAACATTGCTAGTTTAGGACAAGCCGTGTTGTCAGCTGATCTCATTTGATCACGAATAAAGAAAATCTGACCAATCAAGGTAACCACCAATTAGAACACCTTAGAAGTGAACACTACACAAAGTTATTACCAAATGAAAGCAACAGAAAAAAAATAATACAAAACATTTAGGATAGCTGGAAATCGTTTTAGTAGTTCCCCAAAAATTCCCATAATGTCAGAATGATGATGTATTTAGAGATGATAGGAAATGTTTTAAATGGTTAGGTTTTCTAATGAAAGAACATTAAAATAAATGTCTGGAACAGTGTCGACCAAAGACAAGATGTTGATGGCAAAAACATGACAAAAAACTAAAACAGCAAGCCATGATTACTGTGACACACCATGGTGGAGGGGTGATGATCTGGGCTTGTTTTGGTGTCATAGGAGCCATGAAGCTTGTATCCTATCAAAGTATTCTAGAATCTGTTCTGCAATTGAAGCTTCATCAGAACTAAGTGGAACAGTGAACAGGACAGGAAATCTAAAACAGAAGGGCTGAAAAGGAAAAGAACCCAGACATTGCAACAGTCCAGTCAAAGTCCAGAACCTGGTTGAAACATTTTGATAGGAATTTATTGGGATGCGAGCTGAAAATGAACCACAATGAACCACCACCATGTTGTGAAGAAGAGTGGGCCTACATTTCCTATAAGCGTGTCAGAGACGTGTGAGACGGGGAGAATGAAAAGTTCCTGCTGCTAAAGACGCATCACACACAGCTTTCCTTTCTAACCTTTACCTTTTGTAAAATAAAAGATAAAATGCAGTAGGTAGCACTGTTGCCTTGCAGCAAGAAAGTCCTGGGTTCGATTCCTGGCCTGGGGTCTTTCTGCATGGAGTTTGCATGTTCTCCTTGTGCATGGTGGGTTCTCTGGGTACTCCGGCTTCCTCCCACAGTCCAAAAACATGACTGTCAGGTTAATTGGTCTCTCTGAGTCTAAATTCTCCCTAGGTGTGTGTGTAAGTGTGTGTGTGCATGGTTGTCCTGTCTGTCCCTGTGTTGCCCTGTGACAGACTGGTGACCTGTCCAGGGTGACCCCGCCTCTTGCCTGAAACGTTCTCTGGAGAGGCACCAGCAACCCTCCTGACCCCACTGAGGGACAATAGTGTAAAGAAAGTGGATGGATGGAAGATAAAGTGTAAAATCATTTGATGGTCAATCTCAAAGATTCATAAATAACATCAGTCAGTGACTCAGAGTAAAACTGACTGGTATGAAATTTGTGTTTAAAGTCTTAAACCTACCAGGATCCAGCTTGACGATTTTAATCGCTGCCAGTTCAGATGTCCTGATGCTGCGGGCCTGGAAAAGAATAAAAATAAATGATGTCAAAAAGCTATTAAAGGAATCAATATCTATACTTTAATAGCTTCATACTTTATACAATCAGACTGTAGATGAATGTCTGGGGAAAACCTGCACAGTGATTGGCTGTTTAACTTCAGTTCCAGCTTTAATCTCCTCCTTTATTCTCAGTCTGATCAAGAACTCTACAGTAAGTTGTTTTACAAACACTTTTATCCAGAGTAATCAAAAAGAAAGAAACTAGAGGTTTAAGTTTGGTCCTTCCACCATCTGGGCCAAACACAGCATCACACTTCATACAGAACGTTTTTCCTCCTTCCAGAGTTCTTCTGATTCTGACTTTTCTGTCACACTAAAAGGTCTAAATAAATGAGTCAGGTTCTTTCCTCTCATAAAACCAATCATCCTTTGCATCTATGATGCAAAAATTAGGTTGACTGGAAAAATTTAGCCACAAGAAAAAAATGCAAAAACAGAAGGAATGCCTGATGAAGCAGGACTAGATCAAAACTTAAAGAACAGTTCTTTTTGTGTGTGCTTTCAAACAGCTATGAAACATAAAACAGGGTTTAGTGTTTAGAAAGACGTGTCTCCTCCTGCAACCACCTATGTGCTTAAATTAACTTTTTTTAATGGCAGGCAGTTAGAGAGGAAATCAAGAAAATCAAGGAAATGATGGACAATCCTGAGCATCTTCTTCGTGAAAAATACGAGTGTCTTCAGTCAGAGGCTTCTTCAAACTCACTGTAATACAGACTGTTTCTGCCCACAGCTAGCAGCATCTACAAAACTCTTTGAAGAAACAAACTGCTGGCTGGACATGTCTGGTAAAGCAGAATTCATGGTTCAGTTAGAGCAGGTCATCCAGGTCCAGATGTAAGAAAAATTCATACCAGAACACTGTTTGGATGAAGGTATGCTGCAGTTTCTTTTCTGCTGTGTTAGCAGCTAGTAATGAGAACTAAACAACACACACATTGTAAAAAGTTTCACTTTTTTCTTGATAAAATCCAAAATGTTTTCCCAAAAGTCTCGGGTTTAAAGATTTGGTTTGTTTGTTTTTGTTGTTTTTTTCTGAGAAATAGGAGACGGGTCTTTTGCTGTTGAAGGTTGACATAAATTGAAATCATAATTTGAAAACTGAAATATTTAAGAGTGACAGAATGCAGATACAGAAGAAATCTGAGATGGTAGGAGCTTTTATGAGGCGCTATTTAAATCACAACAAAGTCACCTTCTTTAATTTACATCACTGAAAATTTTGACAAATTACATATTACATGGTGTCATCTCAAATGAAATCATCGGGATATAATTTCCCATTGGGATAAACAGTCATTAAATTAAAATTAAGATTTGATAAAACTAGAGCATAAAGTTCTAACACAGAGAGCAACAGTCAAAAATCGAGACACTTGGAAATCCTGTCTGAGACATCCAGCTGCTTAGTGACAGAGGAGGCCTGATGTTAACCTGCAGAAGAAAGAGACGTTTTCACAGAGAAAACATGTTGCGTTGGTCGGAAGTGGGGGAGGAGAAATGGGTGAGCAGCAGTGTAACCAAAGCACTGCCACTATTTATGTAATCATCGTACAGTGCCACATGTCAAGACCAGCTCAAGTGGTTGACTTACGAAAGCCTCATGTGGACTAAGACGGGTTTATCATGGCAGCCATGTTGAAGAATATGTAACAAAAAGACTTTTAATAATACCATATAAAAAGGAAAAACTACATTGTTGACATAGTGAATCATGTCATTCACTATGTCAATGACATGATTGCTTGTATATTTATTTATATAGCACATATATAAATAATAACATAAACTGCCACAGGAGTCTATATTACTTATTAATATAACACAAATAAAAACAACAGTTGACCAAAATGCTTCACAATTTTGCCAGCAACCATTAAAGTTTCTTGCATTCTGACTGACAGCAGCATGCGGGATATGAAGAGCTTTCTCTGGGTTTCTCCATGGAGTCCTCCAAAGCTAAGCCTTAGGACCCCAACATTTTCTCGTATGTACCTCTTTCTTGACAAAGTCAGTCTGTGGCACATGGATACCCTTTCACAGTGCACCACATGGCATCCCATACACTCGGAAAACTTAACATCACAAAGTTGCATTCAAGGAAAGTGGGAAAAAAATTCTTCAACTTCAAGGAACCAGTAAATGTTTAGGTATTTTTCTTTTCATAAGTCATGAATAAATGCTGAAAGTTATTTTTAAATATTTTAATTGAACAGTCCTCAGTTCTTCCTGAAAACATTAGTCATTCCCATTCATAGCAGAATGACTGGTTTCCACTCAGGGCATCCATAACAAATGAGGTAAGAACCAATGGAACAGTTTCCCTCAACAAAACCTGTAGCTTGTCTGATTTCTACTTCCTGTTTTCTTTCCTGTTCCACTTTAGAACTTCCTGTAGCTACAGTAATGATGATGTCACAAAGTGGTTTTTCAAACTAATGCTCAGTGAGGCTGCATACATACAGCAGGAGGAAGAGGACACTTCACTTCAGCAAACATCAAAACTGTCTCATAACCAGAGATACGTACAACTATTATTAAAACCATAGTTTAACTAAACTGAGCCCAAGCATTTCAACATGCTTAACAGGCAAAATGTCACAAAAAACAAACCAGTAATCTTGTGCTGTTTAGGATTGTATCCATTGGCATAATGCGACCCAGGGGAATTATATTCTTTAAGATTAAAAGGAAAGTGTTTGGTCCAATGCAAGTATATGTGAGGTTTGAATCCTAGATGTGGAATCTGAACATGCTGCATGTCAAATGTGCATCAGCAAACATTCATGAACTACAATAACACAAACCTGTCAATGTATATTTTACACGTGTACGTTTGTTTAACCTATATATTAGCTAATATACCTCTGAATATCACTTAGTCCAATAAGAGTTTCTCTAGTTATGTAAACTGATTGCTACTAAATCTGGGACCTGTACCTTAACCGCATAGTTTTGTCTTAAATATTAGTGTTTTTAAAACAAACCTGATAATTGCATGTGAAAAACCACTTTGTGACATCATCATTACTGTAGCTACAGGAAGCTCTAAAGTGTATTCTTGTATTTTCTCTTCTTATAAAGTGTCCTTGGGTGTCTTGAAAAGTGTTAACAATTAAAATGCATTATTATTTCTACTACTAATACTATTATTATTACTATTAACTTCTGGCAGCGGTGAGCAGGTACTCCAGGACTACTGGACCACATTCCAGTTCCTCTCCGTTTCCAGGTGATTCTGTGTGAACATAATGCTTGATGTGATCCATTAGGTTTTCTACTGGATGAAGGTTCAGGGGTTGTTCTGGCAGCTTCATTCTGTTAATCTGAAGATCCTGCCTTACATGCTGAAAGGCCATTTCCTTTCAACATGTAAGACACTATTTTGTTGTCTTCACAGTAGGAGTGCAACGGCACTTAAATGCTACATATTTAAAATATGACTTAAAAGAAAATTTACTTCCTAGTCTATTGGCTTTAATTTGGACCTCTGTCTTTTTTAATACTCCACCTTCAGGAAGTCATCACAACATGGCTCCTCTATTAACCGTTTAACAACATTTTTACCAGCGTTATTCTGAGAAGTATTTCCTTTAATGAGCTCAGCAGATCCACAGTTTGCTAATTACTGCTGGCTAGTCTGAAGGAATTGAGTGAGGGAGATGGTGTGGAAGATTTTAAGTCACATTTTCTTACACTTGTACCATTGTTACCAGTTGAGTATTATTTTATTGTTTTAACACCACAGCTTCTTGTTCCTGAGGTTCCCTTAGTACATTGTCCCCCACAGGAGAGGGAGGAGGAGTGGTACAGGGGACAAGGAAATAATTCTAACCCTAAAGAATAACTACACCCAAGAAGTAATTAATGTAATTAAACTAGAGTAACAGAATAATTAGACAAGAAATAAACATTAAAACTAGACTCACTACGAAAGGACTGAACCAAAGAAGAACAGAAACACGGCTGATCTGCTTAAGCAAAAGAAACAAAGGAACAGAAAATAACAAAACAAAAACTAACTCAAACAACCAAAAATAACGACACGTTTAGGTTTAGGATGTACATGTGCCCACCCCCACACATGTGGACTAGATATCCAGGATGTTTTGACACAATTTTTTTTTCTCCACAAAAAAGGAGACAAAAAGGGAAATTATTTTTTCCCCTTTCTGGGGGAAAAACAGTTTTCAATGTTTTAACAATAAAGATGATTAACAAAAGAAAAAATCAAAAAGAAAAAAAATCAAATCAATCATCCCGAAACCATCTCAAGGTCATTACCTTTATTTGACCTAAATCCAGTTAATGATGAACCTGCACTCAAACTGTATTTATACAATATTTATGACAGAGTCAGAAAAGCTTTGTGGTTTCTGAGAGCCACTCACTGACACTTGAACTGAGTAACACCAGGATCTATTGACAGCCCACACAGTCACATGTCCAGAGGTTTCTCTCTCCACGCCAGAAGATGCAGCTCCACCAAATCCGCCAACAGGAGAAGTGGGAAGTCATAATGTGCAATTGTCTGTGACTGTACATAGCGCTGCTCCCGTTCCTAACTGAGACACAGGCCACAGTATGTTCAGCTGTCAGAGTAATACAAAGGTGCTGCAGACTGTCAGTCAGCTGATCAGAGGCTGAAGGTCTGTGGCCCCATCAGAGAGCGGGACCCAGCGGTCGCTCTGTACAGTTTTACCTTCTGTTGGGTCTGTGCTGCTATATTTGGTTTGTACTTCTAATTTGCAACATGTGAACACAGCACATGTAGTCAAACAGTGGATGATGTGACAGTGTGTTCAGTGTCTCTACAGCTCCAGGCCAGATATTTCTAATGCTAAAGAACACAAACAGATAAAACTTTAGTGCCAAAAGGCCCGCTGAGACCTGTCATCCAAATGCTTTTCCACATACTTTTGTATTGAACACTGTAAAATCCCAACGGGCAGTTAAATCAGTACACTCCATGTGTTAGACTGTAAAAACCTTCTCTTTCAAACTGAAATCAAGCTAAATGCAGCCGGTCTCAGCACACAACTGCTTCAACAAGATAAGAGCAACTGAAAAGAAAAAGAAAAAATCTGTAAACAAAAACTCTTTCAGCATTTACACACCTGCCAATCTGCACACTGAACAAACCACCGGCTGCTAACTGAAAACGCATCACTTCCTTTACCACACAGAGAGTCTCATGGGAACGACGGCCGCCAGAGCAGTTTGAGAACATTTCAACTATTGGAAACTGAAACTATCTCCTGGCTGAGAAACACTTCATAGAACGACTGTTTCTGAAAACAGTCCAACACTCCAAACAATCTAACACTAGGTTGGGTAGCAGGACGTCACCTGATTTTAACCCCAAACCAGAAATATTCTGTGGGCCAGTCGAGAAAAAATCCTGGTGTTTCACAAGACATGAATGAATCTGGATCAGGACGGCTCTGCTTTATGTTTCTACAGCTGAATTTCATTCTGATCTCATTCTCCTCTTTAATTTAGCTTTAAGTTTGAACTTACAAATAGAAAAACTTGATTACTGAGTTAAACACAACCAGCGTTTGCAAAGCAGCCAATGCAGAAGTGCCATTTATTGTCTTTACATATTGATGAATATTTAAGGTATATTTGATGTGTGAAGTATTAAAATAGACAGCTCTAAGATGCTTGAGAAGGAATCTCAAATATTTGCAGATTGTAGCTGTTCACTATTTACTGTGCTCCCTAACATCTGCGATTCACTGGATTTCAAACTTCAGTCTTTTTGTGTTGTGCTTGTTGGCAAAAACATTCCACAATGAACTGCTGATTTTAACTGTTGTTAGTAAGGCCAACAAATGTAATCTATCCACGTCCCAAAACATTATTGAAATGCTTCTGTTGGTGTTCAGAGTCTGGTGGGTTTAATTTAACAACAAGTTTGACCGTCACTAAATTCTACTCAATTTCCCATAGAACCATTGGACCTGCAGCTCAGATCATGTTTTCATGGCTTATATTAAATGTGAAATCCAAACAAAACTGCAACAAGCAGCAATGGTGATGATTTATTTTTTCTGTTTACACCTAAACTCCTCAGCCGGATATGGAATCTGTGATGTGATTTTTTTTTTAAGAAAAAGAAGAAACAATACAAATTCTTGCCCAGTTTCTGCAGGATGCAGAAGGCACCGGGGTGTGCGAACAGAGCAGGATGTTTGCATCCTGACACTCAGATCAGAGGAAAAAGACACAATGATATGTTGCACATAACAATACTACATATTGGACATTTATGTAGTATGTAATAAGTTGCTGAGATGATATCAGCCCCATTCAAATAATACAAAAAAGTGATTTCCAACTGAGATGAGGAGCTTAGAGAGTTTAACAGAGGGAGGCTGGAGGCTCCGCAGGAGTCAAGGTGACAGGACAGGAAGATTCTGACAGGTAAAATACCCACAGCCACGTCCCGAGTGGATCTGATCTGATCTGAGCTGAGCTGTTGGAGGGTGGAGGGAGTTTGGACTCCATGGTGAATAACCCCAGCAGCTCTAATCTGTCTGGTTCTCCCCAAACAAACAGGTTCACTGTCAGGAAGTTAAGCTTCCTGTGCGCTTTCTGCACAGATCCACAACAGTTCACGTTAACGAACACACTGGCATGTAATTGCTCCACTGCCTCAGTGAAAACATGCCGTTACACGTTTACCTTGAACACATCTCCGTAGGTTCCGCAACCAATCCGGTGGATGAGCTCGTAGTCCTCCAGGGGGTCCAGGAAGGAGACCCCTATCCTGTCCATGCTGGGAGGCACCTGTGGGGGCTCAGACTGAGCCTCTCTATTTCCACATCCTAAGTCGGACCGATGGAGAAAGCAGATCCCGGTCCTGTTGGAGCCTGGCGGGGTGATGGGGGCTGACTGCAGGCTACTGCTGCTGGATCAGTCCAGGCGCTGATTTCTGACTGCAGAGTCTGAAAGTACAGCCCATCCTGAGGCGCAGGAACCGCAGCACGCATGAGCAGAAGCAGCACTGTAAAATATTTCAAACTGGCTCCGCAGACACTTCAAACGACTGCGGCGTGTTTAGATCAACAAATATTCACTTTAACGAGCAAATACCTGATAATTTCATTAGAACGTTCTGAAATGTAGGGAAACCGGTAATATTCGTTTTTACTAAATTTGTCTCATAAAGCACGATATCATTTGTTTTGATACTTAGGTATTTTTTTATAGCTTACAAACACACACATGCACACGTTTGTTTCGCTATCTTTGCGGGGACTTTCTGTGGACTTTCACTAATCCTAACCAAAACCAAATTCACCCCTTGGTCCTAAACATAACTCATAATCCAAAAAACAGCATTTCTCCTTGTGGGGACCAAAGCCTGGTCACATATTACGTTGTGGCAGTGGGTCCCCTCAATGTAACGTGTCAGTAAAATGGTCCCCACAATGCACATGTTCACCACAAACAGTTTAAACTGTTAACATTAAGCTAACAGAACCACAACATTAAAATCAGAGCCTCAAGACTGAGGCTGTTATCATACTTGATACTTGTTATCTCATCAGTTTGTTTCTGTGACCTGATGGTTTTTCATTCCAGGGCAGACCTCTGGGAAAGCTGTCCAGTCCTGGTGAATGCAGTTCTGAGGTGTTTGCGTTCACAGAATGTCCTGCTGACTCACGGTGCTGACAGGAATCCAGACCAACCTGTGTGTAGATGTGTGTGTTACATTCCTGCTGATGGAGTCATGTAGCAGTACAGCTGCTGCCAATTGTCTGCTCAGGTTCCAACTCTGGATAATCACTCATTTACACTACTCCATCAGTTTTCCTTTCAATATGCCGCCCATATTTACTAATGGTACTCTTCTTTGAGTAGTTTACCGAACGCCTCCAACTAGTAGAAGAAATTATTGTATAATGCAAAATTCAAAGTTAATTCCTGACTGACTGATGCTCAATAGTTCTAAACCAAGATGTGTTGAGCTATTTGTGTTGTTTATGTTTGCTGAACATTTTCCTAATGAGCCCACTTAGTTAAAGGGGTTGAATGCGTTTCATCAGTGAGTCAACAAAACAATTCAAGCACTGTATGACTTTATGAAAATCATGACAAATTCTTGGTTGTTTTTAGGTCTTTATTACTTGTAGATACAAGAAAAAGAACCACAATTTATCAAGCAAAACGACGTAGCAGAGTGACCCAGTGGGGCTCCATCAAAACAGTGCATGGTCTCTCCAATGAACAGAATCAGACGGAGCTCAGGCATTCTTCAAACTAAAGGCCACCTACTTCAGAAACAACAAAAACCAAATAAGGCAACATAGAGCTAGCAAGAAAGAAGCTGTCAGTAGAGCAGAGTGGACAATGTTACACAGTAACTATCCTAAATTAATCCTTTCCAAGGTTTCAGTCATCAACAGGTTCTTCTTATTGGGGTGGGTTGATTTTTACACTGATGTTCTCCATCACTTTGGCTTCTACATAAAAGTAAATGACAAGTTCCACAAGTTGTCAGTTAAAACACAAACTAATGAGAGGCTGCTTCCAATCTATCAGTCAGCCTCTTCTCCTAACTTCACTTCTTAAATTAAAACTAGATAGATGAAATGTTCACTTCCTCCGATATGTGATGTTTAGTTCATCATCTGTGCAAGTCAAATCTATTGCTCAGAATGACGCATGTAAACTGAGATGGTTACCTACATGAAGACCACTAGTGTCCCTCAGGGTTTTCACAGTATTCCCTCCCTCCATTCTCCTCGACAATCAACATGTCTACAGTGACTTGCGCTGGCGCTTCATGAAGGACATGGAGTAGTCCCCTGCTGGGGTGCTCTTCTGCCTCTTCATCTGGACCTGGGACTGGGCGGTGAGCTGCAGTTTGATGGCGCTGGAGTTCACCTTGGCTGCACACAGCAGCTCCTTCATACCCTTCATCTTCTCACTCTGGAAGACGACCACGGGGCCGGCGGGGCAGGGCGAGGCAAGCTGCTGGGACAACGGGGAGGAGACGGACTCTGAACTGGGGGATTTGGGAGTCCCGTCCGTCTCTCCGGTCCGCAGACCCTGAGAGGAGCGACGGCGAACAGCTCCGTCCCCCACCTTCTTGGGCTGAGGTGCTGCTGCTGCAGGTTGCTGGCTAGGTGGAGAGGTGGGGGCAGTGAGGGGAGAGGAGCTCTGATCCTCCAGCTTGGACTCCCTCCTGGGGCCCCGCCGCCGGCCCTCCCGGGGGTCCTCACTCGACTGGTCGTCATCATCCTGGCACTCGGGTTCTTTGGTGATGATCGACACTTTCTGACGCACCTGGCAGTTTAAAACGAGCCGTTTTTTTATGATGTACTTCTGATATTTCCACACAGCAATGAACAACACAGAAAGAGCAACAGTCAACGATAAAATAATAATAAAATAAATCAAAAAATATAAAAATTAAATGAAAAATGTAAAAAGTAAAGAAACATTAATTGTAGCTTGGAAGCAGCAGTTCCTGACCTGAGAGTCGAAGCGGCTCAGAGACTGGACCAGGTATGTGGCCCAGCCCACATGAAGAACCGGGGTGGGACTCCCCTCCTCCCACTTGCAGATGCCGTCATAGAAACGAAGCAGGTGGGCAAAGCATTCTGGGTCCTGGAGTGCTGAGATGGCCGTCATCTGCTTGGCGTTCTCCTGAAGGAACACACCTGATCAAAGGAATCCCACTAACAACTGCTGGTTCTCCAGTTCAGACCAGTCTAATTTGGTGGATCTCATGCAGGTTTCAATTCTCTGTTACATTTGACCTTTAACCCTTACATGCAGCAGTGAGCACTCACCTTGTCGGGCCCATCTGCCCCGTCTCCATCCTCCCCAGGACCGTCAGCTGTAGCCGTCTCCTTCAGCAGAGTGGGGATGACGTCGTTTGCGATGTCGAAGAACTCCTTGTAGATCTCCTCATCCTCACGGAAATAGTTATAGCTGCAGCAGCAACACAAGTGCTTTAATACATCTGAGGAAATGAAAGAACTGACTTATCCCCACCACCGCTCCCCACTGATCAGATGTTCGGTTCTAACTGCAGCTCTGGGTCAGTTCGATAAGATCTGCGCTCCGCCATCATCATCATGTTTGAAACACATGGACACACTTCCCTGTGATTGTGCAGTGAGGGTGCGCTGCAGCAGAGGACAATGGGAAAGCAGGAAAAGGAAGCTGATGAACTGGGAGGGGAATGTGTGTGTGTGCTGGTATTAATAGCCACAGCTCATGAACCGGTGTGTGGGGATGCCAAGCTGAACGCTTCCTGGATCACACAACATCCTTTCAGGCCGAGCGTCACCAGGAGTCTCAACAGTCTGGGCTTTGTTAGTAGCAGTGTGATAACAGAAAATCCCCACAGAGAGCTGCTTTACCACCTGACAGGCTACGGATCTGCGCTTTCCACTTCTAGCCTGCTGAGGCAGCAGGTAAACAGACTGAATAGTTTGGGTAAAACTCTAGGATTCTGAAGGACCAACAAGGTGTGCTTCTACTACCACCCTGTGTTCACTGAGAGGAAATGATCTGTAACAACCTGACTGTGGAGAGACTGAAACAGTTTGAAACAGGCAACAAATTGAATGCTTTTCATGCCGTTTTATTTATGTCTGCAGAACTACACCACCTGCTGGTGAAACTTTGAACCTGCTTTGTAAATACACTGCTGGAGTTCATTTTAGGACATATTTGTCAGATTTTCTGTTGAAAATGTGGAGGTGTCAGAATTTTCTTGCCCATTTATGTCACTTAAGTGTTTGCTGTGCATAATTATTCATAGATTGATGAAAATGCAGTCATGGCCTCAGGAAGGCCTTAAAAGCAGAAATGACAAAGCAGCAAGAGGAATTTAACAAACATGGTGTAAATAATCAGATCTCAGAACTGCCACCAACATGTCTACACATCCACTAGAGAAGGAAATACTTCCCACGTGGTTTATATAAACATTCATGAGAATTACAGAACACACCCAACAGTGCAACTCCGAGTCTATTCCAAACACACTACACCCCTTGGGAATAACCCCCTCACCCACAGCCCCGACACGGTATCAATAAAACATCTATCATCAGAAACTACAGACTTTTAGAGAAGATGATGAAAGCTGATATTTGGTGTGTTACTCTAAGTCAGAAATGCTTCTGTCTGCTCCTTGCAGCTGCACTGCAACACAAAGCCCATGCAGGGGATAACTACCAAGGCTGCACCAATTGAAGTTTTCTGGTCGATCACCAATCTTTATAAAGCCTGACCTGCTGATTCCAATCTTTTTTTGTCTGAAAAGTCACTAAATATAGCAACAAAGTTGCTAATTGGCAATGTTGAGGTGACTATTGCTAATCGCACATGTGAAGACTTAACCTGGGGGCGACTCTGTTAGTTAAACCTCTCACATGACAGAGCAAAGAGGACAGTGGCTGATTTGGAGACCTTTGCAGAGGAAGATAAATTTAATTTCTCATGTATGCATCAGCCAATCTCAGAACTTAAAGGAAACTGGGGCTGATTTATTGATGCATCCCTATTAAACAGTTGCATTTCTCAGTTAAGTCATTAACATGGCAAGAATTATACAATATTTATAAAATTAACTATGTTCAGGTTTTCATTTCCATGTCACAAATTTTGGTGGTAAAGACACAGAAACTCTAAATAAATGGAAGACAATAGTTCTTAGCTATTGGGTTTATCTGTGCCTAATTGTTTAGAACACTGGTCAACAGCCAAAAAAATGTCTGGTGTATCTCAACTGTTTTAGGGTCATGTTGATGAGCTGAATCCTAAAATCACATTGGTTTTGCTCAATCAGGTCAACTTTCTGAACTATGGAGCAACATGAGCATCAAAATGCAGGACTTGTTCTCACATCTGGAGAATCTGATCAATGAGTGATGAGCAGGAGGAGAGATTCCATCAGGACAGGGAAGAGACGGAGAATTTTACAATGAAGACGTGA